TGGGCGCTGCAGTTGGGTGGGCTTGTCAGCTGACCACTGGCTTTACAGGCCTGAACTGAGAGCTGGCTCTTGTGGCTTCTGACCCCTGAAGGGCAGAATGCAGACAGCTGTTCTCCGCGGGGCCGGCTCCTGCCCTCGCAGCCTTCGTTTTTTCCTGGACAGTCTGGTTTCTTCAGAGAATGCCTTTCTTCCCTCACAGACATCCGGTTCTCCAGTGTCACGCAGACGTAGTTTAGTGGCTGTGGACGATCAGTGTTCAGACCAAAAAGTAATCTCCTTTTCAGCCCCATATCTCTTCTTTTAAAGGTTTTTTTTTTTTTTTTGCCGTGCTGCGCGGCATGTGGGATCTCAGTCACCCCCAGCCGGGGATCGAGCCTGTGCTCCCTGCATTGGACGCACAGTTAACCACTGGACCTCCAGGGAAGTCCCTTCAGCCCCAAACTTAACTGCTGCGCACACTGTGCCCAGAACTTCTGAGTCTGGGGGCTCTGCGGAAGCAGGTCACCTGCCTTCTCCCGCCAGCCTCACTCGCTGGGTGGTTTCCAGAGCGAGGTTGCCCGGGTCTCGCTTCTCTGGCCCCACCCCTCCGCCTGCTTTCTACTCTCGAGACATCTGGGGAACGCTGTCTTGTCTTCAGATGCACCAGCTGCTCCTCGTGCAGATCTTGTGATTGGAGGTTGTAACTTTCCTTGCCTTCATCATCACTTGTTTAAGACTTACACCGTTAAGTGTGAGTGCAGGCCTGACTTCGATCAGGAAACTATCTTCTGTTCTTCCTTTTTTCTCACCCTCAGCCACGGGTTGTTGGCCACTACTTGTTTCTGCCGTTGTAGCAAATGAGCAGCCATGGACAGTAGGTGAATAAATGGGTGCGGTTGTGTTCCAATAAAACTTTATTTGCAAAAACAGGTAGGGGGCCAGATTTGGCCCATGGGCCATAACTCACTGACCCCTGGCTTAGTGGACTCCAGATTCAGTACTTAAGAGAAACCCTTTGGTGAGAGGCTGGGTACTGATGCTGCCTTGTGAGTTTCCGGGCTCTGCTCTGAAACCTGCGGCCATTGTGCTCTGTGAAAGAGATATGCCTTTGTTTTTGACCCCACTCCCCACTTAGAAGCCGTTGAGAGGCCAGTGATTTGGCCCTGTTCAAATGAGCAATAAATGTCTTTCAGCTAATTGTGAATTTTTCAAATTGCAGTGTTTAAATGGCAGGAAAGAGGTGCTTGTTTAGTAGTGATCCCCTATATGGGAAAGCGTCTGGGAAACAGGCTTTATCACAAATCCAGTTGTCTGTTTTGCTGCTTGAATGAAATAGCTCAGAAGACTGAGAAGCTGGCAAGTCCCCTTGTATCTGCTGTCCGCACTTTTCACTCTGATTCTGTGGGGCGCAGCTGCCCGGCTGCACACGAAGTTGGGAGTTTGGGCGTGCTGCCGGGGCCAGAGGCCCTCGGGCCCAGTGCGCCCTGTGCTAGAAGCTGCTGCGGGCCGCTCCTCCTGAGGCTGAGGGCGCCCCTGCAGCTTCCGAGGTGCAGCCTGCGCTAGAAGCTGCTGCGGGCCGCTCCTCCTGAGGCTGAGGGCGCCCCTGCAGCTTCCGAGGTGCGCCCTGCGCTAGAAGCTGCTGCGGGCCGCTCCTCCTGAGGCTGAGGGCGCCCCTGCAGCTTCCGAGGTGCAGCCTGCGCTAGAAGCTGCTGCGGGCCGCTCCTCCTGAGGCTGAGGGCGCCCCTGCAGCTTCCGAGGTGCAGCCTGCGCTAGAAGCTGCTGCGGGCCGCTCCTCCTGAGGCTGAGGGCGCCCCTGCAGCTTCCGAGGTGCGCCCTGCGCTAGAAGCTGCTGCGGGCCGCTCCTCCTGAGGCTGAGGGCGCCCCTGCAGCTTCCGAGGTGCGCCCTGCGCTAGAAGCTGCTGCGGGCCGCTCCTCCTGAGGCTGAGGGCGCCCCTGCAGCTTCCGAGGTGCGCCCTGCGCTAGAAGCTGCTGCGGGCCGCTCCTCCTGAGGCTGAGGGCGCCCCTGCAGCTTCCGAGGTGCAGCCTGCGCTAGAAGCTGCTGCGGGCCGCTCCTCCTGAGGCTGAGGACGCCCCTGCAGCTTCCGAGGTGCGCCCTGCGCTAGAAGCTGCTGCGGGCCGCTCCTCCTGAGGCTGAGGGAGCCCCTGCAGCTTCCGAGGTGCGCCCTGCGCTAGAAGCTGCTGCGGGCCCCTCCTCCTGAGGCTGAGGGCGCCCCTGCAGCTTCCGAGGTGCGCCCTGCGCTAGAAGCTGCTGCGGGCCGCTCCTCCTGAGGCTGAGGGCGCCCCTGCAGCTTCCGAGGTGCGCCCTGCGCTAGAAGCTGCTGCGGGCCGCTCCTCCTGAGGCTGAGGGCGCCCCTGCAGCTTCCGAGGTGCGCCCTGCGCTAGAAGCTGCTGCGGGCCGCTCCTCCTGAGGCTGAGGGCGCCCCTGCAGCTTCCGAGGTGCAGCCTGCGCTAGAAGCTGCTGCGGGCCGCTCCTCCTGAGGCTGAGGGCGCCCCTGCAGCTTCCGAGGTGCGCCCTGCGCTAGAAGCTGCTGCGGGCCGCTCCTCCTGAGGCTGAGGGCGCCCCTGCAGCTTCCGAGGTGCAGCCTGCGCTAGAAGCTGCTGCGGGCCGCTCCTCCTGAGGCTGAGGACGCCCCTGCAGCTTCCGAGGTGCGCCCTGCACTAGAAGCTGCTGTGGGCCGCTCCTCCTGAGGCTGAGGGCGCCCCTGCAGCTTCCGAGGTGCGCCCTGCGCTAGAAGCTGCTGCGGGCCGCTCCTCCTGAGGCTGAGGACGCCCCTGCAGCTTCCGAGGTGCAGCCTGCGCTAGAAGCTGCTGCGGGCTGCTCCTCCTGAGGCTGAGGGCGCCCCTGCAGCTTCCGAGGTGCAGCCTGCGCTGCTTGCAAGACCTGGGAAGGGCGGTCTCGTGCCCCCTGCAGGCACGCCTCTTGCTGTGCCCTTCCTGGGGGTGCAGGGGCTGGGCAAGGGGCGCCCAACAGACTGTCCCAGCCCTCCAAGACCCCACTGCCAAGGCCTCCAGGGTCCCGACACCCAGCAGTGATAGACGCCCACCCCTCCAGAGTCCATGCAGCCCTCCTGTAAAGAGGCCCTGAGCTGAGAAGAGTAGGCCCGGCACCCACTTCACTGACGGGGCTTCACTTTGAGGCTCAGGTCATCCCGAGGCCCCCACATCCCACCTGGAAATGCAGCTGCCTCTGATGTGGGGGTGGGGGTCTGCACTCTCGCTTCAGAACCTCCGGAGCCTGCTGACTTGCAGCGAGGTCCAGTGGAAGGAAAAGGGCAGCTCTTTTGATAAATAATTCTGAGTTTGATAAATTTCCCATCAGGACTTCCCTGGTTGCCCAGTGGTTAGAACTCCTTGCTTCCACGGCAGGAGGTGCAGGTCCCATCCCCAATGCAGGAACTAAGATCCCGCAGGCCACACAGCGTGTCCAAATATTAATAATAATGATCTTTTTCCACCACTGATCCAAAAATAAACGAGGCTGAAGTCAATCTTGGAGCACCTCTCACCTCACTGGGTGAATACATAAAAACGAAACTACCCCTTATCTCCTTTGCCAGAGTGATAAAGAAAGGAAGAAGGTAGTCTGCTTAGATCTTACCCAAGTCAAGTAGCTTAAACGATATTGTCCTTCTTTAGAAGAATTTCTTATAATTGCAAGATGGATGATCGAGTTTTTGTTTTGCGTGTGAACACCTAGACTGGGGAAGCACCCCGTTGTCCGTCACTGACTGTTGAGCTGACAGGAGCGCCCAGAGCAGCCTTGGAAGTGCACGCCGGTGACTCCAGGGCTGCTGTGAGTGTCCGTCTGGAAGGATGAAGGCGCTCTGGGAGAGCTGGGTTAGCAGCTGTGCTGTGCCTTGCTCTGTTCCACTCCGGCTCCTCCCTTGAGCGTGGCTGGCACTGCCCTTGACACGAGCTGGCGTTCATGGTTCAAAAGTCCAAGAGCTGCCAGTCTTCTTTCAGAGGGGAGCCCCCCGTCCCAGTGCCAGGCCCCGCTTAGAGGTCAGTGGGGGGGGGGGGGTCACAGGATGAGGAAGCTCCTGGTTCTGCCTGAGACAGTGGGGCGACGGTGGGGCAGGGGGTCCTGTAACTGAGCTGAAAAGGAGCAGGTGACACCCTTTTTCATACGTGGTAAAAGATACACAACACGAAATGCACCCTGAGTAACATCTAGTACATTCACCATGTTGTGCAACCGAGACCACTGTCTAGCTCCAGACACTGTCCTCACCCCAAGAAGGAAGCCCTCTAAGCATCGAGCCTTCACTTTTCACTTCCCCCACTGCTAGGCCCTGACAACCACTCCCCCGCTGTCTCTCCATGGATTTTCCTATCCTGGTTGCTTCATACAAATGGGTTCACACAATATACGGCCTTTTGTGACTGGCTTCTTTCATTGTGCGTGGTGTTTCCAAGGTCCATCTATTTTGCAGCTTGTCTCTGTACATCTCTCCTTTTCATGACTGAGTAATACTCCGTTGTATGGATATACCATACTGTGTGTTATCATTTGATAGACACATGGGTTTCCCTGTCTTCGGTTGTTGTGAATAGTGCTGCTGTGAATACTGGTGCACAAGGTTTTGTTCCAGGACCACTTTTTCAGTTCATTTGGCTGTATACCTAAGAGTGGGCAAAAGTCCCTTTTGCCCATGAATTAGGAAACATTTTCATAGGCTCCAGAAATTAGGATATGAGCATTTTTCGAGGGTCACTGTCATCAGCCTATGTATACCTCAGCCCTATAGTCAGAAGTTCGAAAGAAGATGCAGGGAATTAGGTGTATCTGTGAAATCTCTGGAAATAGAGCATCGCTGGGTTGGGATGTAACTACAGACGCCAGCGGCTTGTAAGCGATTGAGTTGTTTTCTAGTAGCGTGAAAGAGACTATCCCAGAGCAAAACTTGCCTTTTTTATGTGTATTTTTCCCTTTTCTGATTGTGCTATAAATTACAACTGTGTGACATACTTATCTGTTTTTGTCTTCATTTTGGAAACAGATTCCCAGCAGGAAAAACAGCCTTATTGCTGCCCCGTCTGCAGTATCTAGTAAAATAAAAGTGCCAGCCCCTCAGCCCATAGTGAAGAAAGACAAACGGCAAAATTCTTCCAGGTTTAGCGCCAGCAATAATAGAGAACTTCAAAAACTACCGTCTTTAAAAGGTAATTTTTATTATTCATCTTTTGAAAGTTAAAGTTTGCCCACTTGGGGTAAGGAGCAACGTTTTGATGGTTTGCTAGCTTCTTACACTTTTGCTGTGTTTAAATTCTGTAGGGTTATTTTTTCCTCTTTATTGAGTTTTTTCAGGTTGAATGCCACTAACTTAACCAACTAATAGTTCAAATTCCAGAGCTATTTACGATGAAAATGTAATCGTGAGTACATTACGGGTGTAAAATACTTAACATACACAGAGGAAAGACTTAAATCTTTTCATGTTAATTGTAATTAAGCTAGCCAGTTTTCTTTTAAGTAATTCTCCTCTTTCATTTGTCTTAAAACTCTGGAAATCCAGAAAGGAGTTATTTCAAGTAGAGTAATCGTAAAAACTATAGTAGAACCTCTTCGTTGTTCTGGTGCTGGAGAAGTGAGGACTATAATAGTCTTTTATGGACTTTCTCCTTATGGGTCACTTGGGGATTACCTCTACCCAGGGTTTCCTGCTTGAGGTTAGTCAGGGAACAGTGCTCTTTGCTTCAAGTTTCTCCCCAAACCCAGCCCAGCCACCGCTTTCCGTCTGGGGGGGTATTCAGTCCCTAAAAGTGTTTCTCTAGGAGATTTTGAGGTCGAAGTACATAAAATCTTATTGGGGAAGCAAGGTAAGACCCCAAAGTCAAATATGAACCTCAGAAAAGCTTTATGTTTGCTAACATATAAGACTAGTGTAATAAAGCATCAAACATTTTTCATACCTTAAATTCCTAACAGTGGGTCTTCTGTGGTTAATTTTCATTGTGTATGAACTTGGAGCAGGAAGCTTGTCATCTTTACAGGTGTATTCCCATGCCTTCCACATTGCAGGGCAGAGAGCCAGAGCTCAGTATAGATGTTTGAGGGAGAGAGGGTGGATGGAGAGAGGGTGGATGAGGAAGAATGGATGGAGGAAAGGAGGGGTGGATAGAGAGAGGGGGGGTGGATGGAGAGAGGGTGGATGAGGAAGAATGGATGGAGGAAAGGAGGGGTGGATAGAGAGGAGGTGGATGGAAGGGGGTAGTGGATGGGCAGGGAGAGAGGGTCAGGGGAGAGAGAGAGGGTGACTGGAGAGAGAGAGGAGTGTGTGGGGGAGGGTGGGTGGATGGAGCGGGGTGGAATAGTGGATGGAGGGAGGGACTTACGGATTCATGGATGTACTTCTGACCCTTCACTTGCTAGGAATCCAGGCTCTCCTCTCACTGCCTTTTGCAGAGCTTGTATCGGGCTTATATTTGGTTTAGCTGTGTAGTAGATAACGTGCCTAGCAAGTCCTTTTGGAGGAGTCTTCCCTCCCCAATAGTCCATGCCTTCCTGGTGCTGTTCAGTCATTCACCAGACACCATGTGGAACACCCCCACACCAGCACTGCTCTAGGTTCTGGGGGTGCCCCATCCAGCAAAACCCCAGGGTCTGCTGTGCTGGAGCCAGCACCTCCCCCACCAGGGGGGACCCCCCGTGAGTGAGTGAAGGGCCGCCGACTGTCCCTGCTCCCGGGGCCCCGCAGAGGCCCTGCCAGAGTCCGCAGCCGTGGGGGTGGACAGGCTCCCCACCGCTGTGGCTGAGCCTTCAGGCACGGGTGCCGTCCCCAGGGCCTGTCCCGGCTGGAGGTTGGCCCCTGCGCTCGAGGCTGTGCCCTGCCAGGCCGACCCCTTCCTTTCCCGCGCCCGGAAGGAAAGGTACACCCACGTAGCCCGAATCTCACCCTGGCCAAGTCACCCGTCTTTTTGGTGCATCTTTCCTGGCTGTTCTAAAACATCAGTGCCTCTGTAAGTATGTCAGAGCAACTTTTGTCTGGTTCACAAAAAAATAGGAATTGACTGGAATTACATTAAAGATATAATTACTGGGGGAATTCTATTTTTATGATACTCTACCCATCTAGGACATTGGTATACTGCCTCCCTTTTTCAGCTCTTGTTTTCTGACTTTTTGTAAGGTTTTATGATTTTTATTGGGATTCTTTACCCTTGCATTAAATTTCCTCCTAAGTGCCTTCTAGGTTTTGTAACTCTTGTGTTGTATTTTTTCCATTTATGCTTCTAATTCGTTCTTATTAATCTAGTGAAACACTGTTGGTTTTTTAATATTTTCTTATTCTGTCACCAAATTTTCTTATTAACCTTAGTAATATTTTTGTTAGCATCCGTATATATAGTCCTGTCATTTGTAATTAGGCATTTTTCTCTTCCCGTATTTGTAACAAATTCTGGTGACTTTAGCGTTATTAAGCCTTCAGCCGGTAACACATAGATGTTAGAGGTGAGAGCATGCCTCCCTGTTGTCTCCCATTTGGGTGAACGGCGCCAGCATCTCCTCGTTTCCTGTGAAAACAGCCCTTGGTTTCTGGTAAATCACGCTGACCCAGCGTGCTGCCGCTCCACGGTCCCCATTTAGCATCGCTGTTTCAGTAGCGCCGTGGCTGGCGGGTCACGTCCTAGCACCGCTTCTGAATTTTATCAGATGCTGTATGGTTTTTCTCCTTAAGATGTTAATTTAATAACTGCTGTGTTGATAAATTTTCTGCTCTTGAACTGTCCTTGCGTTACTGAGATAAACCTCAGTATGGTCGCAGTGTAACTTCTCTGCGCGCCGCCTTCAGTTTAGTTTTCGTTACTCTGCTTCCGCGTTTCCTGCGTGAAGGTGGGCTAGCTTTCCCCCCTTTCGGTACCGCTGTGTCGCATCAGATCCAAAGTGTGTGAGCCCTGGCCCTCCGTGCTCTGTCCCGAATACAGTCTAGACGACTGTATACGCCCTCTCACGCTATCTCCCTCAGATTGTAAGATGCCACCCGATTTTAGCAGCGATCAAACACGGAATAACAGACGCATCTTACAGCCCATGGCATAGGGTGAAAGGCTGCGGTAGAACTCAGCTGGGGACAAATCTGCAGATTCCTCCCTTGTGAGGTCAGGTTAGGCCAGGTCATGTGTTAACTCACGCATTGTGTTCTTTAGTGAATCTTTTAATTTCTTCTACCTCTGTGCTGGTGCTGTCTCCGTACGAGTTCTTTTATTCCTCTGATTATTTCCTTTTCAATATACTTCATTCCCACTTTTAATTATCCCATTTTTGTTTTATTTTTTTTTTCCTCAGTTATTATATACAGAGTTCACTTAACTTACAGCCATGTGTTCCTCTGAATATAATTTTAGCTCTGCCCATAGGTTTTTCTTTCTTTTTTCTAAAATCATAGCCTTTTTAAAAGTTTTATTGAGGCATAACTTACATACTATAGAATTCACTAATTATAATTGGAAATGTGTATTATTTTAATTAACATGTCGAGTTGTGCAGCCATTGCCACAATGTAGTCATAGTTTCAGAATATTTCCATCACCCCTCAAAAAAATTCCCTTATGCTCACTTGCCGTCAGCGCCCACTCCTGTCCCCAGCTCTAGGCAACCTCTGATTTGCTTTCTGCCTCTTTATTGTTCAGTCGCTAAGTCATGTCGGACTCTTTGTGACCCCGTGGACGCACACCAGGCTTCCCTGTCCTTCACTATGTCCCGGAGTTTGCTCAAACTTACGTCCAGTGAGTCGGTGATGCCATCCAACCATCTCATCCTCTGTGGTCCCTTCTCCTCCTGCCCTCAGTCTTCCCCGGCATCAGGGTCTTTTCCAGTGAGTCAGCTCTTCACATCAGGTGGCCAAAGTATTAGAGCTTTGGCATCAGTCCTTCCAATGAATATTCAGGGTTGGCTTCCTTTAGGATTAACTGGTTTGATCTCCTTGCTGTCCAAGGGACCCTTAAGAGTCTTCTGTAGCACCACAATTCGAAAGCATCAATTCTTCAGCACTCAACTTTCTTTATGGTCCAACTCTCACATCCCTACATGACTACTGGAAAAACCGTAACTTTGACTAAATGAACCTTAGTCAGGAAAGTGATGACTGTTTTTTAATACACTGTCTAGGTTTGTGATAGCTTTTCTCCCAAGAAGAAAGCAAGCATCTTTTAATTTCATGGCTGCAGTCACTGTCCACAGTGATTTGGGAACCCAAGAAAATAAAATATGCCACTGTTTCCACTTTTTCCCAGTCTATTTGCCATGAAGTGATGGGACCAGATGCCATGACCTTCGTTTTTTGAATGTTGAGTTTTAAGCCAGCTTTTCAACTCTCTTCTTTTACCCTCATCAGGAGGCTCTTTACTTCCTCCTTGCTTTCTGCCATTAGGGCAGCATGCTAAGGTGCATGCATGCATGCTGTCACTTCAGTCATGTCCGACTCTTCGTGACCCCATGGACTGTAGCCCACCGGGCTCCTCTGTCCATGGGATTCTCCAGGCAGTAATACTGGAGTGGGTTGCCATGCTCTCCTCTGGGGGATCTTCCCCACCAGGAATTGAACCCAAGTCTCTTATGCTCCTGCACTGGCAGGCAGATTCTTTACCGCTAGCATCGCCTGGGAAGCCCAGTTGCCTTGGTATCCTTATCAAAAACCAGTTGACCATAAATGTAAAAATTAATTTCTGGTCTCTCAATTTTATCATATCAATCTGTATGCCTACTTTACTGCAGGCCAACAGGATCTCATTATAGGAGCTCACTGTTGCTTTAATTTTCATTTCTATCATGAGGCCAGGTGCCCTTACAAATGTTTATTGGTCCTTTCCCATTGGACTGCCTGACACTTTTCTTAATTTTTTTGAAGAGTTCTTTATTCTGGATATGAACTCTCTGTTGGCTATATACGTGTTGTAAATACCTCGTTACACTGTAGTTTGTCTTTCATTTTAGCCATCCTGGTGAGCTGGTTTCAAAGCCAGCTGATGATGAATGAAGGCAAGCATCTCTTTGTAGGTTTATCATCTGCTCAGATATATTCTTTTGTGAAGTGCAGGTTTAAGTCTCTGGGCCTTTGTTTCTCATTGGATTGTTAAGATTTTTATTAAAAAAACTGCACATTTTCTTCTGCTGTATATCTTTAGTTTTCACTCTCAAAGACACTAGCACTTTGACAATACTT